GTCTTACTGCTTTCCTCTATTTAATTTGCTCACTGCAGAAAGTAAAACTGTGCTTTACTACCTATCAGCTGTAATATGTGCTTGAGCTATGACGGTCATGTTGGTATTTTTCCTCCCAGCACGTATCATGATGGAAAACTGTTAAGCCAATTTATTATCTTAACTACAAAGTTGCAAATCACATTATATCCTGTAAGTCCACTGCTACCTATCCACTCCTTACCTTAGTGGCTCACTGAAGAGAAAAAAAAAAAAAAAAAGGCAAGAAGTACCTTAAATATGCATATATATGCAAAATAGCACCCAAATGTGAAGGCCAGCTTTCAGAGGTGCACTAAAAGTTAAATCTCAGTGGGACATACTTCTACAATTACCTTTCCACTTTTTCAGCGTACAGCTCTTCTTAAAAGCACTTAAATAATACATAGCTTATTTTCATGAGCATTTCCATCAAGTTTATTTTTTGTGAGAAACTAAGCGTATAAAAAAAAAAAACAAAACAAATACAACTGTCTTACACAACCTCTTACAATTGAGCAACACAACAGTATCAATCAGTCCACTAATCAAAGCTAAAAGAAATCAAAGATTCTTTAGACAAGCTTACATAGTTATGAAATTTGAGGAAGTTGTTAATTATTCCTTGGCCCTGTATACATACATATATTTGTATCAGCTTGAAGGAAAAAAGCTGAAATTGATCAACTAACATATTTGCTAGGATATATTCATCCTGCTACATACTCTTACGTCTCTCATCCAATCTGAAATGTAATGCCAATGCTACTACCTAAACTATCAATCAAGTACTGAATATGCATATTACCATCACTGGTCCCAAAATTAGGAAGAACTAGACACACAAGCGCACAGAAGCAATTACCTCCTAAATGAAGAATGATTCAAAAAGAAGCAGATTCTGCAGATCTGATGCATTAGTATCTTCACCCCTGTATCCATACTAACATCACCTTTCTGTTTTTAAAGGATTCAAAGGGCACAGCAAGGAACAAGTTAGAAAGGGAAAGGACATCATCTCCTTTTGTAAAATAGGCTTTAGAGAATAACAGACATTATAAGAAAGAGTTTCTCATGGTCTCTGTTAACAGAGATTTTGATGGCTATTTTGTAGAAAATTGCAGGCTGGAAGTATTTACTAGACTCAAAAGCAAACAAAAACATTGCCAAATTCAACTGAGTTTACTGAGTGCTGTGATGCAATGCACCTCATGAACTGCACTTCCTGACAGTAGCCTAAGTTATGCATATAACCTAACGTAACCTCTTTTCCACGAAGTACATGTTTTGTCTGAGGTTTGGCTTTGTTTGTGTTGTGTTTCTTTTTTTTTTTTTTTTCCCCTGCCTGTTTTGTTTCCTGGATTCATCTATTTCTGAGCGAACACAGTGTTGATTACAGAATTTCAGTGAGCCTGGAATCTCAAGATCTCCTTTGAGTGCTTAATGCAAGAATCCTTGTAGTGAACACTAAGATCAACTCAATTTACTTGCAGCTTTGTTCTGCACCTTTTATTCACAAAGTATTATTATTATTTAATACATACCAATATTGCAGAAGTAAAAACTGTACAAATCATCATCACTTTTCAAAACTTGCAAAATAACCTCTAAAAATATTGCCAGACATGTTGAAACATATCTGCTTCAACTTCTATGGGGTATTCTTACATTGTACCCTGAACCTAATGCCAAGCATTACAAACATTTCTACTACATCATCCCTGCTAATTCAGTCTTAGGTCTTTCCATTGGTAGAGATAACACTCATCCATTAAAAAACTGACTGGACCTTATTTGGTAGAGCTATTGGTGTTGTACAGCCAGTAATCACTTTATGGGATTAGAAGGGGGTGACAGGTTACAATACTCTGTCTTGTAGTAGGCTTTTTCCTTAAAATTTCCCACTTTCGTATCAGTGCAGGGGGAGAAATGGTAGGATTATTAGTGTGCAAGATCCATGGCAAGCACTGATCAAAGAGGTCATCTGGCTGGTGCAACAGTTTAAGTGCAACAGTTTAAGTACTGACAGCTTCTTTGGAGCTGTCTTTTCAGTTGGGCAGACTGTGTTACTACTGTACACTAAATGAATTATACAGTGTATGTAATTAAAAATAAATAAATGCTGGTATAGACAAGTCTCACAAGTAAGCATAAAACTTGCCCCTTGGAAAACCTGTTATTAGAAGTGTACAATGCCTATAACAGCTAAAAAAAAATACCTGAGGCTAATTACCACATAAGTGCTAGTATCCTAATTAAAACCAAGTACTGAAAAACACTGAAATAAACACAGCTTTATAATATGCAACTGGAAAATATTATCATTTCCTACAAAGCAGTCAAGGGACAAACAACATAGGAATTAAATATTTTCCTAAACAAAAGCTTTTGACTTTTTTGCCTTTGTTCTTTTCCATTTGTTGATATTTTTTATTTGGATATAAGCTTGGAATTCCTGCTTCTCAGCTTGCACGAAGGTTGGAAAAGCAGAAAATCATACATACCTTCTCTGCCTTTGCACTTCTTACCAGTTGTGTGAGCAAGAGGAAGGCTAACCTTTCTGACCACAGCAGATAAAGAAACAAATCAGACAGGAAAATTATAAAAAGACCACAGTCTAGCTGGTGATGGGCAAGACAGAGCTGCAATCTTTTTTCCAGGAGGCAAAGTTCAAAGGATTACACTAGAAAGGTCCAAACCCTCGTGGGAAAACTCATGCATAAAGGGCACATTTCCCCACGGCAGTGACTAGGGTTGCAGAGGGTTAATAGGAGATTAACAAAGACAACTATACAGAATAGTAAAACACCACAGCAGACCCCCTTATGGGAAGATGAGCTTTTTCTTCCTGGAGAGCTGCTTTATGTGACACCATATCCCTAATGATAAATTGCAGGCAACACGGAAAAATTCTACTGAAACTGCAAGGTAATTTACTATCCAAAGTCAGAAGTATAAATGTGCGAAGAGCTGGAGAGTCATTTGAAAATCTCTCTCAAGCAATTACTCATCTAATCGTCATAAAAATTCACGTTAAAGTATCTGGCTACTGGCGGCCGATTCAAAACAGAAGATCAATTATGAAGAAAACTATCTCCAAGAAATTAAATCTTTCTCTCTGAGAAACTTACTGAAATCTGAAGTAAATGGATACATTTTGATAAAAATCATGATTTTCCAATCGCATGTGAACCTCTAAAACTTAAGAGTTCGGGAAAAGAATATATCTACATTTCTTTTCTGAATTTTTCATAGCAAACATAATCACTAACGTGTATTAAATACTGTAATAAGCGCCTCTCCTTCCTAAATGCATATGTTAGAAGCTGTAGCAGAAAGGTAACCTTGTTCTGCTTATTTACATGATCACTTATGAAAGTTTTCGTTATAACATGAAAAATAGCTTTTTAAAGACTTCCCCTGCTGAATCCTAGGGCATGAAGGGTCCAAATAAGTAAGGCAGTTACATATTTGAATGTAAAATGGCAAATAAAAATTAATTACAGAAACTTGTGCTGTACAAGCATTGCATTTTTTCTTGAATATCATTAATTTAAGGCAACATAAATGTCTCCTTAAGTTTAAAAAAAAAAAAAAAAAAAGATCTGAAATTATGACTCATGCCAGAAAAGAACCTGACTGATCAGTTGCTGCTCAGGGCTGAAACAGAACATGTGGTCACTCTAGGTTGGATCAGAGGCACTGCTTCCTGAAAGTTTGCCTGTTTGCTTTCCTGTTAAATGTAAGTATATATTTCTGAGATGAATCTTAGAATCAAATTTGTTTGCTAAGCCTGGAAAGCAACTGAAAAATAAATGTAACTTCAAGCTCATGTATATACATGTTTTTTAAAGGAAAAAAAAAAAAAAAAAAAAGGAAACCCACCAATACATCTCCATATGTAATTGATAAAAACATCATTTGTCTGGGAGGGACTTCATGAGTATTCAGGTGCATGGCTGGTATTACTTTCATTGTATTAAATTAAATTGATCCTCGATACACAATAGAAGTGAGGAAGACTGAAATCTACCAGAGGATGTTCTTCTTTTGTATTATTATTCTTTTAATTCTATTCTTTTAATTGTACTGAAGGAAAACCCAGAAGGTCATGGACAAAACAAATTTTCTTTCCAGTTTAAAATTAAAGAAAAGGTACATTCTAAATTATGCATCTCTGCAATTTATGTGGAAAACCTCTCTCAAAAAAGAGAAATTGGTTTAACCTAATCTGAGCCATCCCCCATTTCCTTTCCTTGAGCACATCTGTCTCCAGTGTCGGGTTACGGCCCCAACTGGTAAGCATTCCTTCTGCTTGATGAACAGCTCACACACCATCTCCTTCCGGAGCACTGGCATCCTTCAAGCAGGAAATGCAGCTGAGCACAAAAAGTCAGGGAAACTGTTTTTGTTGTTGTTTTTTCCCCCCAAGAAAAAGCATAAAATGCAAAAGAGAATGAATGAGTTTTAATTTTTGAGTGGGATTTAGTTTCCAAGCACAGGTTAAAGTCATGACAGAAAGTGCATCATATTCTCATGAAATCATAATTCTCAAGCTGATGAGTTTTGTCTAGAAAAAGTAGTCTTCACAATTACAGTCAAGGAAGGAGGCAAACACTATATGTGGCTTCTGATTCTACACCCTGGTCTGAAAAAAAAAACCATACCAACTATCCTCTATATTAGTGGCTAGCACACAGACCCAATAAAACCATGAGATAATAAACCCAATGACATTCGTGGTGGGAAAAAAAAAAAAAAAAAAAAAAAAAAAAAAAAAAAAAAAGCATTAGAAATACTTCAACAACATCATTTCAAAATTTATCCCTTTTTTCCCCTCAAACAGCAACTCCTTTTTTTTTTTTTTTCTTTTATTTGTTGCATAGCTCATATACTATCTCACAACATAATATAAAGGAACTAAGAAAACTCTAGAATTTAGCCTAATGACATTTGTCACTAGACTTAATAATTGGGATTACCAAGTAGTTTTGAAGTCGGTGTTCTATCCTGATCTTGTCTGGTTAGTGGAATAATTCCTCGGGATCAGCAGGATAGATGAATCTGGGGAATACAAAGGTAGAAAATTTGATTAGAAACTCTGACATTAAATCTTATCTGACAGTTCTAAGTCAAAATAAATAAGAGTTTTCATTTTTATCATCAATCTGCTGAGCATTCTTCATGTCTTTGCGCAGCACTGCAAGCACAATAGAGATTTGCAATGATTGTTGTATTTTTACTGCATCTTTATGATAGAAAGATATGTTATTCCAAGCAGAAAAACTGAGATAGTGAGACTGAAACCAGCATTATCGTATATAACAATTAATTCCTGATAAGCTTTATTTAACATTTTATCCTGATAATACTCAAAAGCTGTTCTCAAAGATTAGCAAGACACCTTATCTTTCACTGGAGTATGTAGTTTTGTGCCAGCCTTAAAAGGAAAGGTAGGATTCAGAAACGGAGTTCAACCAGTCCAATAGGGAATGCTCCCTTAGTCTTTACAAGGGAGTGCCCAATTATCTTTTTCTCCTGTTATCATACATCTTTGCCTATCAATTTTCCAGCTCCTGCCCACTATTTCATCTTTCAATGTAACTTTTGTCACATACACCATTTGTCTTCAGAAGAAGGCATCTTTCTGTAAAAAAGTATCTACACTCCATCTCTTTCCATTTCCACCACAAAAATTGACTTCAAAACATATCACTAGCTCTCGCTTCAGTTATCACCAAAAATATTTTTATATTTGACAAGATAACCTGATAATTAGATACTTTAACTTTTCCTTTATTTCTCCCAATCTTATTCTTAGAAATGGTGCATGATATGAAATGATTTTTTCCCCCAAATTAATAAATAGGCTGTAACTGTATGGCAAATGTCATGTAGAACAATGTATATACCCTGTGAAGTGATAAAGTACTGAATATGAGTTACTGAAATGTGTCATACTGTCTTAACTAAAAGACAATGCCCTATGTCCTGCTTCTCATTAACATTTGATGTCCAGGAAGGAAAAAAATTGATGTCGGAAATCTTGTTGTAACTTTTGAAATAAATTCTGTTAAGTACTGCCCGTGTTTTTCACTTTCTGTAAGCAATCTGACAATTTGACTATTTTGATCCTACCAAAGTGCAGGGAGGGAATACAGTGCCAGCTGGAAAAATAGCAGCAATATAGGCTATCCTATAATATAGGTAATTCTATCCTGATTAAATCATCATCCTTTTCATGTGTTTCTTTCAGATTACAGAAGAGAAGGGCAGCTTTGGGCTCAAAGAACTACCTCTTCCAATTCATGAAGCACTATATACAGACCTCCAGATTTCCTGTGTATTTTACATTGCCTTTCCTCCTAAACCAATTAAACAAAGCAAAACAAAACAAACAAAACCCATCAACAACAACACAGATACAGAAAACAACAACAAAAACACAGGGCAAAAAAAGGCTGAAATAATACATTAGTACATATTGTCTGGTTGTCCTTTGCCTAATTTCAAGTTGTAGTATGCAATATTAAAGTAAGTACCTGAAGGAAACCAAAAGAACAACTAATTCTAAAGTGAGGCTATAATACATTTTAGAAATTGCTTCAGCGGGTAAGCATCCAAAAATCACTTCTAGCTTACATCAGAATTACAAGGAGCCTGTGATGCACATGCTATAGTGACTTGGACTTTATTATTCAAATAAATCTCTGTAAGCTTTTGCACAGAGTAGCTGCAGAATGAATACATCATACTAAACTAAGGTTAAAAATAAATAAATAAATATTGCACATAAGTATCATATTTTATTCAAATCCTTGTAAATGCTGTCTCCTCAGAGTGTCTGTAAACTTCGACAAATACAGGTGTAGAAGAGGCCTAGACAGCCTGAGGGACTGGCAATGGTCTATGCATTCTTTTTACCGTTTTAACTATTTACAGAGTCCCTATCACTTTGAAGTCTTTACTACCTTTCACTTTAAGGTTATGAGTCTGAATCAAATATAGCTCAATGTTGATTGAAAGTCAACATCATTTACAGGGCTGTATGAAAGAGGTGGTCAGCATGTCCTAATTTGTGGTGATGTGTCCCTAACAGCAGCCCAGTGGAGTGAGGTTTAGGATATTGAGGATGCAACTCCGACTGTCACAAACTCGCTGGGTGACCCAAACACACTGCTTCTCCACTGTCTCAGTTCCCTCTCCATCACCTTCGTATTTGAGACACAAACATACTTTAGGACAAATCTGTCACTGGCACCACAGGACCCTGACTTCAGCAAAGAAATCAAGGCATAAATATTAATTAGAAGTTTGGTATAAAAGCCAGAGATTGGACAGACAACATACCAACTTGTATGGATGAACACTGGGCCACACGTGCTGTTTATGACAGACCAATGTGATCAATAAGAAAAGGATCTCCCTTGGTACTCTTTTGTCAGATACACCTTCCTCAGCAATCATTTTAAATACAATTTTAAATGATTACAAAAGTTCAAAATAACATCTAGTAACTATTTGCTCTACTGTATTAAAGTTGCAAGTTGTCTTTTAGTCCATACTCACATACTTTACCTAGACACATCAAGCAACCCTGTAATGACATAAAACTCTGGAAGAGGAGGGAGTAGAATTTGCTATCGAGTTAAACAGGCTTTTAAAGAAAATGGGAAAACCTGTAATGAGGACAAAATACTGGGGTACATGAATTAAAAAGGAGATATTTCATTCTTTAGAGCTTTAGACCACTTCAGATGATACTTTTCTACTAACAACAGCAGTTCGTATGTGCAGAAGCTTACTCTATCCTGTCTATTTCAGACCACGATCCTGGTCCCCTAAGGCACAAATTCTCATTTGTAACATCACTGGGTAGTGTACGCTCCCAAGAAACCTTCAGGTTGAAAAAAAGAAACAAAATAAAAAAGAACGGGATCAGTCAATTTGTCACTGATGCCAGTAATTCACCAGACTTCAAAGCCATCGCTTCTGTAATACTATTTGTGAGGTTTTGTCCATCCCCTCAAGGTGCGTACCCTGCACCGGCATCTTCTCACAGCACCTCTTGTCAGCGCAGGTTGTGAAAGTTGAAGTTAGCTGTCCCTGGCATCTCCTAAAAACATACCGCAAGGTGCAGGTGGGGTTCTGTACACCTGAAGTCCTACCTAAGCTTCCCCCAACGTCGCTTTGTTGTGCCTGTCACACGGCAGCACCACCACCCCCCTCTCCTTTTACCCCACTCTGTGGAAAACAAAAAAACCACCGACCCCCCCAAGCTCACAAATTAATTCCAGAATATTCTGAGCCTTTAGAAAGGCTTGCTGGCACAAAAGGCCCCCATTAGCCTTAACTGCGAGCAATTCCACCCCGAATAGGCGCCGCTTCGCAGCTACTTGAGGGCGGCGGGGCTCAGCCCGGCCCTGCCCAGGCCGGGGACGCCCGTCAGGGTCGGGGGGCCCCGGGGGCCGCTTCCTGCCCCCGCCGGGGCTTTCTGCATGTGGGGCCGGCATGGGCAATGCGAAGTTTAAACAGTTGCAAATGGGGGAGGGCAGAGCGGGTCTCGTTTTGCATATTTTTTTTTTTTTTTCCGTGCCTGGGTTGAATTTAAAGGGGAGCGGGCGCATTGTTCGGGAGGCTCCTTGCCCCGAACGCATTGACGGGAGCTGCTGTTTACACGGGCTTTTCATCCCCGCATTGTTTGCTTATGGAAAATAAGGGGGAGTGACAGGGAAAAAAAAAAAAAAAAGAAGAGGAGGGAGGCAAGGCGGAGGGAGGCACCGGCCGTCCCGTGTGGCCATTAACCCGGCTGGGGAGCGGGCTGCCCTGCGCTATGTGAGACGGCCGGACCCAGGGCGCTGCTCTCCCTGCCCTCCGCTGCCCGGCACCCCTCGGTACCAGGGGCCGCGGGGATGAGGCTCCAGAAGCTGCTGTGCCTCGTCGTCCTGCTGCTGGCCAGCCTCCTGCCCGCCGCCGGCCAGAGGCCAGGTAAGCAGCCCCTCGGCGCGATTCTCGCTCCCCTTCCCCTCGGTCCCCCCCCGTCCTTCTGCCGGCCGGCCGGGGAGGCAGGTGCCGCTAACCCGCTCCCGGAGCCCGGCACCCCGAAAGCAGCCGGGGCGATGAGGGGGCTGTGAGGGAGCGGGTCCCGGCCGGGGGGACAGGACGGGACGGGACGGGACGGGACGGGCGCCCTTTTGCAACCGGGGACCCCCTGACTCTCTCTGCCTCCTTCTCCCGCAGCCAACCTGGCCCTGCGCAGGAAGCTCCACCGGCACGGCTGCTCCCACCGGCGCTGCATGCCGCTGCACTCCCGGGTGCCCTTCCCCTGAGCCCCCCGGCCGAGCCCGGGCAAGGTAAGGCGTGTGTGGTCGCTAGCACGGCCCCCCCGCGGCACTTCTGTGGAAAAGCCGTGTGGGTTGCGGCCGGCGCTCGGCAGAGTAAGCGCGTTTGCTAATTGCACCTACGTTTCCAGACGCTTCAGGGCGCGTTTATACTAACCAAATCACAGGCTTGGTTTCGTCTGGTCCCCGGGCTCGAGGGATTTGTGCCGAAAATAGGGCTTTGGCGAGGCGCGGGGTACGTGCGCTTCGCCCAGAGCCGCTGGCGGGAACCCAACCCTGCCAGGGATGTGGCCTCGCAAGCCCTGCGCCCAGCACCAAGCACGGGTCTGTGAGGTAAACTGAGGCGAAACAGCCCTCAGGGAGGCACAGGGCAAGCACTGGCGCCTGTGAGGTAAACTGAGGCGTAAGGGCCCCCAGGGAGGCGCAGAGCCCTGGCTGGAGCAGGAGGCGGCTGGGCTTTCTAGCCAGTGAGTGCTGTCAGTAACATGAAGGTAGTGGCACTTACCCACTTCAAAGGGGACTGTAATTCTCGTCAGTGAAAGGCTTTGAGATCCTCGGTTGAAAGGCTATACAAGTGCAAAACATTAATGCTTTATAGCTGATGAGGGCATATACATTCAAATAGTAAGTGCCTGTAGAAGCACACAGGTAGCATATGCAAATAGGCAAGGCATCAAAAGGAAACCGAGGCGCTCTTGCAATTTAAGGATGAATAAAACATGCAGTCAATAGTTTTGCATCTTCTAAACTCCTTCTATATCAAAATAATGTAGCCCCAGGC